GGGCAGAGATTGATGGCGCTTGACAAGTAAATCAGTATCTCTACATCACTGCAACCCGGGGGGCCCACCGGCTTGGCGGCACCTCTCTTCCTCTAATTATCATATCTAACTGCTAACACCTCTTCCAACAGTCGCCCGCTGACCATTGATGCCGAGGTAATATGTCCAAGAGTTGATGCCGTTGCTGCATGATTCAACTGAACAGGAATAGATGGATAAGCTACATGTTGTTCGTACTTACGAGTCATGTCTCGCCGCCAACCAGCAGCTCAGAATGTCAATCTGAGCAGGATCGAAGGGCTTCACCCTCAGGTGCATCAATTGAAATAGATATCCTGCCAGGTAAGAGAACACAGGTGAGTGATATACAGCTATGGTGATGCAGATACAGCAGATGATGAAATACACAGGACATTATGCAATAATTCACACAATAGCAGTTTAAATCACTCAACATAGTGGTTTTGTAATGACTTGGTGTTTTTACGCATGGTCGATAGTGCATTAGAATTGATGAACTCTGACTATCTTTGAGAGCGCTAAGCCTAGGAAATGAAATGTTATGCTAACTTAACTGGTAGTGTGAGTAATAATAAAAACGCAACCACCGATATGGCATCTATTCGAAGATCTGCTATGAATATGGGAATTGCCAATTCATGTACAATAGGTAAATATATTTATATTCAGGAGTGAATAAAAATCACTAACCTCGATCTAGATTATGCATATATAAAGGAGCGAGAGAGGAGAGAGGACAAAGAGAAGAGAGAGAGCACAGAGAGACAGGAGAGAAGCAGAGAGATTACAGAGAGACAGTCGACAGAGAGAAGAGAGAGACCGAGAGAGAGAGAGAGAAAACAGCAGGCAGGACCGTGACCGCCTGGGGCTTATTCCAACAGGACCCATTGTCGTTTTTTTGGTTTTCTTCCTTTACTTAAACCCTCCCTTCTCCCTCTGCCGCCTGGTCCAGAAGAGAGACCCGAGAACCAGCCCGAGATTAGACCACACACAGAGAGAGAGGCAAGACGAGAGCAGACGACGATATGCCCACCCGAGAAGATGAGACAGACTAGAGGAGAGAGTAGAAATGACACCAAGAGAAAGGACCGACTAGTATCAAGGGCATGACCACGCTACACTGCACCCACAGGAGGGAGACAGATAGCATCACAGAGCACAAGAGAAAGAGGGAGAGAGGAGAGAGAGAGAGATCATGCACCACTTGTCCTTGGTGGGGCACACATACTCCGGTTGCCCGCTCTCCGGGCCCGGATGGAATGCTGCCATGAGTTGAAGAAGCAACCCTCCACGCCCCTCGATGCTGAAGACGTGAGAGACAGCCACTGTCACTCCACCCCCAGACTGAGGTCATACTCTTACCCCTCACCCACCTCAAGCGCACCTTCATGTCCAACACGAAGCAGTACATAAACATTAGCCAAGCATGCCGGTCCTATCACACAGCCCGCGGAAGCCCACAAAGCAACCACGGCCCACCGCGGCCCGCACGCACGGTCACGACGCCGCCAAGACGCGCAATCACATTCTCGAGCACGCATGCTCCAACCGCTACGGGGAACTGGTCCCCATATTTCCCAACCCGACTCACGTCTAGTATGCAATACTGATATATTTGTTATACTAATATACTATCCGCTAGCCATACACCTCCCACTACATCACCCTGATCCCACGTACTACCCCCACCCAACACCCACGTATCACTACCGCACCCCCTCACTCAAAACGCCCACACCTTGTGCATGTATGTCATATATCAATCATATTGATATCAAACATAACGCACACTAAACAGCTATAACCGATACACTACATCGCAACCCGCACAGCACGCACTACGAACCGCACACCCGCATCAGAAACAATCGCATTAGAAACATCACCAAACACGGCAACATCGCTAAACACAAACGTGCAGGAGGACACAACAACTGAGACAAAACCTCAGGCGCGAACAAGAAGTATCAAAACCTACGAAGCAGAGACAGCAACCACACACCAGCCCCCACCCCACACGGGCCGGTGCTACTCCTTGCAGAATCACTCGAACAACGGCGCTACACGCGGGACCCCCGCCATGCTCACAACAATCAAACTGACAACGCGCACTGTACACAGAGAATACATATACACCACCCAAAGACACATGCACAGCGCACGACTCCGGCCACGCACGCACACGCGAGACACACCACCCGACAAGCACCCGCCGAACCACCCTTGGGCCACCCGAAAAGCCGGCGCCCACATCACCCCACACAACACAACACCGTCACACCGCACCAACCAACCGACCCCACCGCAGCAGCGACGACAGAGCTGCAGATCGACGAGAAGCGCGAGAGAGAGCGAAAAGAAAGCCGCAAAAAAGAGAGAAAGAGCGAACAGAAAGAAAGGAAGAGACGAGACCGAAACGAGGAGAAGAAGCAGAGACGCGTTGACGAGAAAAGAGAGAGGGAGAAGAGAGACGAAGAGAGACGAAGAGATAGATGAGGAGTAGAGAGGAGAAGAGAGAGAGACGAGAGAGATGAGGAGAGAGAGAGAGAGAGAGAGAGAGAAGGATGCGAGCGAGAGAGAGAGAGATGAGAGAGAGAGAGACGGCAACGAGAGACGAAACGCAGCCAGCGAGGACGACGAGCAAGCAGAGCAGAGAGAGAGAGAGAAGAAGTGAGTGAGAGTAGCACTACAGCACACCATTGAACGCACCACAGCGCACACAGCCACCACCCACACACATAGATGTATAAAAGAAGCTCGCGCTCAAGGAGTGTCTAGTCGCACAACACACAGCAAGTGCTGTCACTGTTGTGCACCAGTTGCCAGAAAAGAAAGGCGGAGCACCAGTTATGTTATCTGACGAATAAAACCCTTTGCTATAGGTGGCGCGTGTTGAAGAGCCTCTTAATAAAAGAGAACCCTGCTCGCGGCTCGGTGCGTATCCCGGTCATCGTCCGAGGATGCAGGTGGAGCCCCTAGAAGTGTGTGTGTCACGGCTTCGTCCTTTCCATTCAATCGGGCATCATGGTGACCAGAGGTAGGCGCACTCCTCGTGTTGAGAGGCAGAGGTATGCGTGGCAGCTTCCTTCGAGCAAGCAGGCCCTGTCAATAGTGTGGAACTACACACGTTAGGTGAGGAGCGCGCGCGCTCCACCGCCCCCCGCCCCCGCCCGCCCGCGGACGCCCCGACTGCACGCACAAGCCGCAACCTACTTTACTACTATATTTCTGCCTCTCATGAATCCGGATGATTTTTCTTTAGAATATAATGCACAGCTTCAGTAAACATGGAGCATTGGCATCATTGGTTACAATCCGAGGGGTGAAGGAAACAGTGTACATTACATGTACATTATTCCATGTCACAATAGGTGCATTACAAGTCACTCATTCAGCATGCGCATTGTCTGCTCGAGCCGCTATTTTTTTAAGATAATCATAAATTGAATAAAATAATAAATAAAACATTTTAAAGTACTTTATGCTAAGCTAAGTTTTATTAAAAAAAAATTTTCAATGAAAAACTTATGCGTATAGAATGTAATTCGTGGATAATTACAAGCTAAATTGTGTTTATGCAAATGAAAGAAATATGATAGCGTAATGTTCTACCAATGAAATTCTCTAATTGCTGTGCTGTGCTAATGTGTGATATTTCAATTGCAAACTAACACCATTTATGCCCATTTCTGCTGGGGCCAGTACTTATACTGCCAAGAACCAACACTCGCATCTAATGGTTATCCTATGAAGCGTTGGTGGTGGGGGGGGTGGCTCAAAGAGCAGAGTGTACACCGATGCCAAAAATCTTTTGTTAAGATTTCATGGTAGGGCAAATGTCCATACTCTGACATCCAATCTAATACTGCTCACGTTGCGCAGTTGGAACAATATTCAGGCGCACGAATCAGCTCTCGACTCTTAAGACACTGACATGCGATTTTGGCGACAGGACACGCAGCAAGCAACACTAGACAGAGATGCGTTGCCGTTTTTCATTCCGCCGTGCCGGACCTTCTGTACTGCACCTGCGAACAAGTGTAGCAGGCTTTGTCGGCCGCTCTAAAGTATCCTTCACCATGTGACCGTCATGCCAGTGATTCCTTGCAAGTAGGTCAAACCCATCAGAACTTGAATCTCAGTAATGCGCTATACTTCAGTAGCAGAACTCATTTAAAAACCAAAATCTATGCCAAAGAATTGAATCAAAATCTTTTGCTTTGTGCAGAATAGTTGGCCTCGACCTGACACAGGCCCAAGCAAACATATTCCCGCAGATTATCAAACTTACGATCAAAATTAAATGTGTTGTGATTAAGGCAGTATCAATATGGGACAAAATGGAGATGGGAATGAAATAAGATTGCCATTATTTGGTTTGTAGCCATAAATAAAATATAGTATAAATAAATAAATATATAGTAATACTTCTACATAAAGGTTCTTCGATTGATCTGACAGCTTGACATGCTAACAGCAGTAGAAACTGCCTCTTCTGTTTTGCTAACATGAAGGGCAGTCCCTGGTGTGGATAGCTGCAACATGCTTGTCATTACACAGGCACACTTATCTGAGCATGTGGGCTGGCATTGCCAGAGGATGACATTAATCTGGCCACTAGCTACTCGGT